GCTGCATTGTGGCCTGTTTGACCTTTGACATCAACCCAAATAGTGCGTCCACTTTTTTATTCGATATTCAGGAGCCCCTCCACGAAATGGCGACGCTCCGCGATTGTTCTCTTTGGAACAGTTTTTCTCAAAAGAAAATCCGTCATTCTGAATAACGTTCGCAAAAAAATAACGTTTGAGACGCAAAGTGCGATTCATTGTGAAAATCTAATGCTCAGAGTTGTTAATTTTATTTTCAGCGGAGTTATAACCGGCAAAATGAAAATCGAGCATGGAATTTTCAAGCACTACATGTGACAGCATTTTCAGCATTCTCGAACATTATGCAGTTTCTGTCAAAATTATCGAACGTGATCAAAATTCTGTCAAATAAAACATTGGCAACAAACATATTGTACTCATTATAAACTTTTGATGCAGCCAAACTTAAAGATAATTTTTGGTGGTTGAAATATACAAGACCTGACAAATACATGTATGTTGGTATAGTGAGAATGATTATAAATGGTAAGAAAATGAAGAGAGCCAAACTTTTCTCATCATTTTCCGTCAATTTTGTGTTCTTTTATTATTTATAATTTTTTAAAAATTTCTTAGGTACTTTAAAATACATCAGTCGAAAAATATACTGATTCTCCTTGTTGAGAGAAGTTTTGAAATCAAGTCCTCTGGTGCAAACATTTTGACGTAAAACTTTAAATGAATTCAACTCCATTTGATTTGCACTGGTAGCCAACCAAATGTCCACCATAAGTACATATTATGCCTAATTATCATTTTTATAAATCTGAAGGTGCTAATTTGTATTTTACATGATCAAAGTCACTCTTTTAGAAGTTTTGAAAAATGACAGCCGAGGTTGCATTTTGGTCCACTTTATGAAGAACATGCCACATACATGTAAAGTGACCAGCTCTGGTGGTCAGTATGGATCATGTACATTACCTTGAGAAGAATGAACTGCTTTGGCAAATGGTTTCCTCAGTGACCAACAGACTTCAGAGATAATACATGTACAGTGTACAGTGCAGTGCATAGCAAATTCTGAATTCCAAATGTGTACCACAAAACAGTCAACCGCATGGGAGGGTAGACCGCATTACATCATGTGTCTTCTTGGTGCAGTATTCCATCAAAAGTGACCATATTGGTACCAAATTTTGGTTATTGTTAATTGCATGATCTTTTTTTTTTGGAAAACTCCTGGAGAAATGTAGCACTGAAATACATGTACATGTCATGCTGCTGAAAATATGGATTTAGTGTCTGGCATGTACATGTACAGTGGTAGTCTCCGCAACATGTATGCCATAATTACTCCCCTGTCCATAGTAAATGGTCACTTCTGGGAGCAGTAAAAATCCTTGTATTTCTTCAACAGTTGGACAGTCTGATGATAGATCAATCTGTAATAGTGCAGCACCTGAGAGCTGTGATGTGGCACCATACCATGTCCATGTACATGTCATGGGCATCATTCTCAAAGGGAATGTTTTCTGGAATGATTTATGGTTTGTCCAGACGTTGGAGTGAGAGTGTTTTTAACAAACAAGGTGGAGTGTTGTTGAAGTGCTGCTGTGAATCTTGTTAGGACTACACGAAGCCCGCACAAGGTTTTCTGGCCAGAAAAACAGTTTTATAGACAATTTGGAATCAGGGTTATTTGTAGAAAAGTCAGGAGGGACAGTTAATAAAAGCAACAAAAGCAAGATTAGAAGAGCATTTTGGTTGCAAGTTCCACAAAAAAGAGTATTTTTTAGGTACACAAAAGTACAGCTATTCCCACACCTGGGTAGTTTACGTACAACATTCACTGTACATGTGCATTATGCTTGATTTCTCCATTTTTAATGCAAAGAAGGGACCACTGACTTACGCGTACTGTCATGGAGTGTGTGCTTTGGGAAAATGGTGGAAGCTTCCTTGTAGAAAAGCTTTGAAGGTGCAAAACATTTCAAATAAATTCTGTGATAACTGTTACATTTTATAAAGACTTACATTCAAGTAACACTGGTGCTGGAGAAGTGTTGTACATGTACTGTACAGCAGACATTTCTGTTCAATTATGAGAATATATTATAGCCTCAACATACATGTACATGTATTTAACTTACTGGGCATTATTGATGTAAACAACCTTGCACCATTAACCATAACAATCCTAGATCTTATTTTTCTGTACTCTTAAGGGGTTCATGCACATGTAGCCCTTGGGGATTAAACATGTTGAAAAGAAATGAAAGTATTGAGTATTCCCATCGCACATAATGTTCAGTCATTTCTAGTTTGAAAGCAGTTAGGAAATTAGGAAATGTACATTGTGGAAATGTCTGCATTTATGAACATGAATAGGCCTACTAAGCTTATCAATCTTTGCCATAGAAACTTGTCAGATTGGAAACGATTGCCCTCTGCAATTTTCCCAGAATGTTGTGAATTTGCTATTCTTTCTTGCAGGCTTGTCAGTAATAGACTTGGAATTTGTCAGAACGTTTGACCCCTGTGTGATCCCATTTGTATGAAAGTAAGCCACCCTCATGGCTCTGTGAGTTTGCTTGAAATAATTTACTTTCCTTGTGTCAAGATGTTTATTTAAACCTGTTAGATTGTTGGTTTTGCTTACTTGATGGATTGATTTACTGAATGTCATTGAATAGGTTTGGTAAAAGGCAGAAATATTCTTGCCAAATATGCTGAAATAGACTGTGAATAAGATACCTGTACATGTACAATGTACATGTAGTCAAACAATGTTGCAGGTACAATATGTGAAATTCAGTATAAACACTAGCATGAAATTCCCCAGGAGTTTGAAATACCGGTATTCTGTGGGATCTTGGAACAAACATTGACCATTCAGAAATTCCTTCCCTCTCAAATAGCACCGTGGTGTCAGAATTAAAGAAGTGTCTATATAGCCACTGTTACATGTACATGTATATGTAGCACAGGGTTTAAAGATGCCATGCCATGAATTATTCTTAGACGCAAATTTTATGCAACTTTCTTTTCCTCTGAAATATCACTTTCTTGTTTTGAAAGTGTACTTCTTTAACCTCAAAAGAGTTGTGGGGGAGGGGGGAGGAGATTAGAATCCGCCCCCCCCCCCCGACATTGTCTCCGGTATTGCCGCAGTGCATTTTCTTTTTTCAGGAGCTGAGTCTTGAGGAGTGTTTAGAGTTTTGCATTCATTTTGACATCAACTTTGTCAAACTCGACCTCACCGTTCTTACGTAGCAACCATTTTTCTGAGACAGGTCAGCCCCAAAATCTATACTTTTTCCACTGAGGTGCTCAGTGCAAGGTGGCTGGCATGTGTGTTGCCTTGAACTTCAACTGACTATAACAACATCACTGTCTGACTGAGTTCAAACTCCGTAATTGTAATGAGAAGGAGTGTCTTTACATGCATGCTAAGTCTTCAAAAAGCAAGCCTGGCACAGCTGAGTTCTTGGGGGGGAGGGGATAGAATCTGCCCTGTCTCCCCAGCTGTGAGATGGGCCAAAGTAACCTGGCTCTCTCAGGGGTACACACATATGAAATGTCATTCCAGGAAGATTTTGATTAGTGTAGGGATTTTCTTTTCAAACTTTGAACCTCAAAAATTGGAAATCATGTACATTCTTCTACAAAAGGGAATCATCAAAGAAAGAAAAAGTATGATCAGGAAATATCCAACATTCCAGGAACTCGCTGTGCTGTAGCATTCAGGTTTCTGCCCAAAATGACATCACGGCTTTGCTCACGAACATGGAAATTTGCATTGGCATTAGGGCCAAAAGACAATTACTTAAGAATAGCAAACAGCAATTATTAGAAAATAAGGTTTTAACATGATACATTGAAGTGCATCTTCAAGTATTGAATTAAATTACATTAATCATTTAATATGCTCTTTATTATTGACCTGTGAAATATTTTAATGTGTGAAAAGCAGCTGTCATTTTTTCTGCACAATGGCATTATTACTGCATATTATATTATTTGTAATTATTGAGATTCAGGAGGGTACAATGTACGCACATGTGCCAGTGTGTAGGAAACAATTAAGTCCAAAAAAAGCTACTCGTAGGTTTATTTTTCACTTTTTGCTCAACTGGATCCATTTTTTGAGGATTTTTTTCATTTCTCCCGCCTTCATCTACAAAAACACAGCACATCTCTTGAGCACTCGGCAATTTTGGTTCATGTACATGTACAGGTACAGTACATACATGTACATGTACATATCTTTCTACACATAAAGATGTACAGCGTACACATTGACTTGCTGCTTATAAACAATAGAGGGGGCTATTTCATTGAATGTGAACAGCTGAAGTGAAGGAGCTACATGTACATGTACACAGTATATATTCGCTGCTCTGTGTGTTTCTCTCTGAAGAAAAGGACTTACCGGTACTGGTACCTTATATTGCAATGAATTTCAGAGATTCACGCACAAGTTATAGTTTGGAGGATTTTTCCTTTTGAATATAATTTACATGCTCATTAACAGATCTGTGTACGGTAGCTCAAAATTCCTTTCACAGCAGATTCACAGCATGTCAGATAAAGAAATCTGAAATTTTAAAATTACATGTACTTTCAACAATGTGACTAAACTGTACCAACTTTTGTTAGTTTGGTACATGTACACTTACACATGACTCCCAGGGTGTGAAATTATAATCATTTGTGAGCCACTTTAGGATAGACCCAGTGCAGATGTAGTTTAACAAAGAGGGAAATGCAATAATTAAAAATCGGAGAAGTAAAATTCTTTTCATGTTTTTACTCTGATATTTGTACTCTGTTTCATGATGTAAACTGTTTGATTTTGTCCTCATGTAACCTTGGTATGTATTCTGTCAAATTTAGCATAATTTCATACATTGTAATTTGATTTCCTTACATGTTAAGTATGATGTTTCAGATAATCTCTGTATTCTCTTTTGAAACAACATTCCTGGGCTGTTTTTATTTCACTTGTTTTTCTTTTTTTTGTCTTGTTACAACAGAAAGAAGAGAGACAACAACCAGTGGTGGGAGCTTTTTGATCCCAAGACCAAGCGATTCTATTACTATAACGAGATGCTGGAGAAAACAGTATGGCACAGACCACTCAACTGTGATATCATACCCCTGGCTAAGCTACAGGTAAGCTGATTGGTTAGTTGAAATGGATCGAACAGGTTTTGTGGTTTGCCAAGTGATTCTTGTGGCATAGCCATCTCAACTTGGACATCATACCCTTGGCTAAGCTACAAGTAAAAAGCTGGTTGTTTAGTGGAAATTAATGCGACAGGCTTTTTTCATTGGTCTGGTTGGATTGTTGAAAAGGACAGCGTACACATTATTCAGCCTCTTTGGCTATACCACAGGCAGGCCAATCAGTTGGCAAGGGATGAACATTTTTTTACAAGTGTTTTTATTCTGTAATTGTTCAGTTATCAGGAGAAAAGTGGCATTGGGGTGAATAGGTGAGATATTACTCTATTGCAGATACGTGTACATGTACATGTAGGCTATTGAAGTCATTTGTTCCCTTGAAGTGTGAGGGGAACTGCTGAGCACTCACTGCTGTGAGAGAGAATCTTAACAGCGCCCTCATTTGTTCACAAGGTGAAAGGATGATTGCCTTCATGTAATATGAGATGCATGCATGCACACACAAACATGTACTGTATCTGCATGAGTACATGTACTTGATGTAAGAGGTTTTGCACCAGCGCCCTCTAGTTACCAATTTCAAGCTACGTGTACTGTACGTACCGTATGTCACAGTGCTTCTCTGTTCTGAACAGTGACCATGACTCATTTGGGTAGCTGCTAAAATATTTTTCAAATCATCTTTGAAAGAGATCCTTTGTTGGAGAAGAAAACAACAAAGGACGAAAAAAGTGTAAAATCTGTTCACTAAATTTTGCAAACGGTTAAATCGAACCCGTATTGGGCATTTTGTAATTTAGCATGCATTTTTGTTTTCTTACTTATAAATGTCTGTAAAGTGTAATTCTATTAAAATTGGGCTGCATCAGAGGCATTTTAGTGCCTCATGACCAGTACATAACAGGAATCTACTGTATAACTGATAATCCTACAATGTATCTAACATGTTCATTGTTTACAATTCGTCCTACTTGATATATTGCCATAATACACCAACGTTTGCATTGTTGGTTAATGACAATGTATGTACAATTAATTTGAAGTTGCATGATGTACATGTACATGTATACCCAGGGGGCCGGTTTTCAAGATTTGCCATTTTCAAAATTCTTCAGAAATGCATTACATGTACTTCATTCACACCAACATGAATGACTGTCTGGTGACTACTCTAATCTATTTCAGCTAGGCCTATCGCCCGTCGCCTTGTAAAGAGAGCTCAGATTGTGCAGTCTTGCGTAATTTTCTTTTTGTTCCCCAAACCGGCCCAGTGCGCTGTTGGCGTCTTTTCAAATGTGGACCAGATTAGCGTGCAGCAGTACTGTATTGCTCATCCCCGGAGTGCTTTTGGCCCTGCGGGTAATTTGCTTGCCCTGAATGCCACAAATAGTGGTATAATCATTCAAAACAATGACAGATTTCCTCCACCATTGACAACTGAAAAATGTTGGCAATTCCCAGCAACTTGTTTTTTTGTTCCGAGTACGGTCTTTTGTTACGAGACCCAGTTCTCATTTTCTGATTTTCGGCACCCTGGCTGTGCGTATAAAGCCAACGTCTCCGAACCGGGGCTCTGTGGCTGCAAGCAGTTAACATTTAAATGTTTAAACAGTGAATGTACATGTAAGTTATCATAAATATTTACCAAATTTACATAAATTCCTTCTCCAACAAAGGATCTCTTCCCATCAGTACCAAATGATCAGATGGCTGTGGACTGTGTACATGTACATCCTCCAACTCTGCCAAGCCCCACCCACCCACCTCATCAAAATACAATTTGGGAGCAATATTTTAATGACGCACCATTACCTCACCATGTTGATATTAGAATCCCTGCATTGCCCCCAATCCCAGTAATTTGTAGAGTGAGTCTTATTCCACATGAGTGAATCCAATATCACCTACATGTAGGCTTCAACTAAAGGAGAAAATTCACCGAAAACCCATCCTTTGTTGCCTTGAGGGGGCAGAGGTTTGGATGCACTGGATTAGCCGGTCCCTCTCTGCTGACATGTTGTGATTTTGAATGCCTAGAGGCTGTGGTCAGGGTACCGGGGGATCATTGGAGCTAGATGGCTTCGCCTCATTTCTTATTCCCTTATAATGCTAAATGTGTGAAATGAGAAATATCAGCATAAATGATAATTTGCAACTGGCAGGATTCTTGTCTTTGTACTGGTTAATATACATGTATATGTACCTAATAGTCTTAGTGGAGAGATTGAAACATTGTTTTGCCTTTATTACTGTTCTTAAATTGCGGTTTTTGTATTCATGTAAAGAATGAACACATTCCTCATTGTCTTTTTGTGTCAACTCTGACCAATTCGCTGTACCAGTAGCCTTTCTTCTAACAAGAAGCAGGGACTGCTCAGATATTATCAGTTAAAAGCAAATTGAAACAACATTCAAAAGGGAATGTACATGTTGTATATACCGGTACATGTATGTATAAATGCACTTTTATTCATCACAGAAAAGATGTAATGTTTCATAAAAATTGTGTCGTTTTCTTTTCTTGGAAAATGCATGTTTGACTCATCTACATATGTACATGTAGCTTTATTGTATATCATGTACGATCATGTACATGTACTGATGTATACCTGTATTTTGAAATAATTACAATACAATTACACATGTACCGGCATGTCATTAAATGTGACCCTAAATAATTCAGTTCATTGTGCATTTTGGCAAAACATATCACACCCTGGTACGGTAGATGTAAAAATATAGCCTACATTCCTTCATTGCACATGTGCAATAAAACACACTTGACATTGAGTTAAAGCCTTTCTGCTTGTGTACACACATGCATGACATACATGTAGATTACAGCAGGGACTGTCTAGTTGACAAGTCAACGGTGTTATTCAAGTTAGACACCTACATGTACATGTAGGAATTCTCAAGATGTTTACTGTGTCTAAATTACATGGCTACGGTTCACATTAACTCACCAGTCTATGATAAAGGCCGTAGTCTCTTTTAAGCAGCTTCCTTAAGGCAACATATCATTTCCAGCTCCAGCTAAGTTATTCAAACATAGCCCTTACTGGTTCATGTAGCTAATTAACATGGTTAATGTACATGTATTCAGGGTCAGTTGGTAATTATTCTCTGAGTTGCTTATAACTAGTACATATACATCAGTGTTATTAGACTTGGTCTTGAAAAATTGCCAGACCAGATGCACAAAATTTGTTTTCCAAATTCTGCTTGACAAAATGCACAAAATTGGTGTCCTAAATTCTGCTTGAGAAAATGCACAAAATTGGTGTCTTAAATTCTTACCCCAGAATATTATTACTTATTCGTGTTTCTGATCATGTTTCTGATGATCATGATGATGATCATTTCAATTTGTTCTTTGATTTGATTGAAAAAATTTAGCCTCTTATGAAGACTAGTTTGTGTTTTTTTGGCAGTGAAACATCAATGACATTTTCAGTTAATTTTTTTTATAGTTTACTGTTTATGTACATTAGAAAGAGCTTCAGTAAATCTGTTGTGACTCATTATTAATTTCTTCTTGATAAAATTAAGTACGTCCACATTCTCCAGAACAAAAGGTTCAGCGTGTAAAATTAAATTTTATTTACATCGATTCCTCAAAATAAGCTCAATCAGTTTTCTCCTTAACAGTGCAATATGGGATTGGGTTGTGTGGCATTCGTGGTTGCTGAACAGCATACCGTCACATGGTTAAATTCTTCTCTGTGTGTGTAAATTTCTCAGTATACAAACACACATCCCTGGACCACGTGGTTTATCCTTCAGCCTCTCCCCAAAACACGTGGCTAGACAGAACAGCCTGCTGCCTCGCCACTGTGGAACAACCCCAGCCAGAACAGCCTGCTGCCTCGCCACTGTGGAACAACCCCAGCCATGATTACCCAGGGACGGTCCAGCTTCATTAATACTAAACGATCCAATTCCATTCATGCACTCCTCTCGTTCTTACCCCCCCCCTCCACACGCTCATGGTCGGTCGTTTTTCATGAATGGGATTCCTGCTCGTGTTACTATTACCTGTCAGCGTGCCCAGATCACTCGTTTGCTCCGGCTGCCTAGCGCAAGGAGGACTAACCCCTTGATCAGCCAACTGCAGATATCCAATTATCGCCGGTGTGAAACATTTGTGCTGTGTTCCAGCAGGTCACTAGAGCATTCCAGAATTGGTTTAACCAGACCACGTGCATGGTGTAGTTTTCTGTTGAGACAAAGCAATTGTAAAATTTGTGAGATGGGATGTAAGCTACACATACATGTATGCTTCATGGACGACTCAACTTATGCACATCTAGGATTTTAAACATTTCTGGCGGCTACTTGGAATCTTGTTGACAAGAATTATTTTGGAATTTAGTGAGGAAAAAAGTATGGAGTTTATGTGCTGTTTTCAATATCTGCTCTCGGTAAGTACACATAGGTTTTGAGAAAGCTCAAGATACTGAAATGTTTAACATTTTGTTTACCCTAAATTCTGCAAATAACCTTCAAACTTGATCCGACGGATGTTGCAGGAGTGAGGCATGTTCAGCATAGCCCACTTGCTGGTACTTACCTTCCCCTTGATAATTGAAATGCACAAAGAATTAGCCATTGGTTTTCCTCATAGTTTGGGAAGAAAACAGTACTTTTTTTGGAAAACTAAGTCAGTTACAAAGGCAATCAGAAAATAATTGCTTTGCAAAATGAGATTACTGGATAAAAAACAAAGTGCATACATATACATTTGTTTGAGACTTGTTTAAATAGAATTCTGCAGCTGCATTTCAAATGTTTTATTCATTGCAGTAATCAGCAACATCTATCAGAAATTGCCACTTTTGGCTATGATGGTTTTACTTGCTTTAGTATTTCCTGTAGCATCCCACATATATTTGATAATGTTTTTGCTAGTGCCCAGTCTGATGGTTGAAATTATCTACCGCCCCAGCTTGAAAGCTGCTTTAACATTTTTCCCATGATGTCATTTT